TATAAATATATATATAATATACATATATAAAACAAAGCTAAATCAAGACGATGCCAGTGCCAAGGTAGAGTTGAGTTGGCTCAGGCACCTGCATCTCGCCGGACTTTGTGTTGTTTCATCATCAAGATGGGGACAGTGTTCCCGTCCTATGGCTCTTCCATCAATTCTTGACTTTTGGCTTCATGGTTTCTTGAAGACAGAGCAAATGCCACCACTTGTGATAGCACCTTGATCCCCACCACTCATGAGGGTGTGGTGGTGAGCTGGAAGGGACAGTGGCAGTGGTCTGAAGCAACCCAGTTATGGAGAAGGAAGTGCTGTGTCCCGGGCCAGCAAGAGAGGACGTCACCCCCCATTCATCTCCCAGGGAAGCACAGCCCCTAGTTCACAGAATGTAACCACGTCTCTGAGGCCATTTCAGAACCGCTTCATTTCCCACTCTTCCTGTTCTGAGCTCCTTCCTGGCCCACCAGCGACACATGTGGAATGGATGAGAAAACAAACAGAAAAGCAAATTTTCTCTTTGTGGCCAAACTTTTGGACAAAGTTTGAGAGGTAGGAAGGGGAGAGAACACGCTGAGAGGCACGGTCCACATCAATAAAAGGACACTTCGGTGGATGCTCAGAAAACCCAGTCTTACCTTCCAGCTGCCTTACACCTGGTTAAACAAGAGGCCACCCTGTCCTCCCCGCTGCACTCCCTGGGCAGATCAGAGCCTTGGAGTAATGCTGTGATGTGTGTGTGTGTGTGTGTGTGTGTGTGTGTGTGTGTGTGTGCGTGTGTGCTTGTGCGTCTAATTTGGGTGGTTTTCTTTTTCCTTTCCTCCTTTTAAATGGAAATATTGCATTATGACTGTTGTCTATCACTGTAGTGGTTTTGTGGCCCAAGATGGAGGCCAGGAGACCTAGGAAGTATCATGGGGGGCCAGGCCTCTATGGGTGCCAACACTGCAGCTGCAGATCTCTGAGCGGGGAGGCACAGGGAGAAGGACAGAGGGAGGGAGGGAGGAAGGAAGGAAGGTAGGAAGGAAGGAAGGAACGCGTGAAGGAGTGAGTGAATGAGATGGATGTTTTCTGAGTGTGAGGTTTTATTGTTTGTGTTGTACTTTTTAAAAAATTATTTTTGGTACAGCTCAAATTCCCAGAGGGCAGAAACAACAAAACCACTGGGGCAGAGGACCCTGTGGTTCTTTACATTGCAGTCTGGGACTCCGCAGGATTTAGTCCTCTTTAATTTTGGAAGTTCAAGACACAACTGGGCACAAAAGCCATGAGAGAAGAGGGGGAACACACGATTCAGGAGGGAGAAGGAATGTTGCCTCTGGTTGCTGTTGTACAAGTACGTATAACAAACAAGACCTTCACTTCCCGTTGCAGGGGCTGTCCTTTGTCACTGGACATCTACTCCTTTCCTAGGGGTGATCTCTGTACAGATGAAAGGAAATGGGTCACGTGCAGAAAGCACCTCCATTTCCCATGGGTTCAAATTTGTATGATATTGTGTAAATTTACGGAGAACTCTTGACTCTTTCCATCCTCCTCCTTTTCCTCTTGATATTCAAGGCCATGAATCCCAAAATAGCTGTTTTAGAGATTAACACCCAAACAGAGGCAGAATAAACCCACCCAAGTCTTGGGCCCATGAGCAAATCGGCATCACAAGTGCCAATGAGTGAAATCAGCCAGAGAGCTATGAATGCCTTAGGGCTGAGCAGCTCATCACCCAGAGGCCCGGCTGCTGCTGAGCAGTGCTGAGAGGCAGGAGAGAACCCACAGCCTGGTGTAGCCACGGACCCATAGCAGAGCATCCAATTGTTTCATAACAAATGTATTTTGGGAACTTTGCCAACCACTCAGCAGCCTTCCTTCCCAATGTTCTGTTTCATCTACGTGTCTTCCAGCCTATCTTCCTACCAGTCTCCCCCAGCTCACACCCGCTACTAACCACTTCTAATTTTCTCTTCTCACCTACTAACTTCTGACTTTCTCTTCTCTCACCAGGCAGTAAGTTCTGCCTGTGTCATCTGCTCTTTTGGAATATGTATGCATATGATACATACCCAAATAGGACATCTGGAGTGAATGAATTGGGCATAATGTCTCCCCCCCCATGCATTTTTATGTTTGTGTCAGTGCACACCTGCATGCAGGTGTGGGTGTCCTACACAAGACTTCCTCTCCAGGGACCCTGGTCAGCTTCTGCAAAAGGTCCCATGCATGAGTGCCTGGGTATGGATGTGCAGGGCCATGGGAGTGATCTGGGTAGCAAGAAATGCTGTTAGCTTCCACTTGAGGTTTCTAGGGTTTATTTTTTAAGACAAAGGATTTATTCTATGAGGAAGATTTGCAAGAAACCCAGTTTTTCCATTGGGAATTTTATTTTCATTTTCTTTGTTTAAAGTTAGATTTCACCCGTAAGGGGAAGGGCATACTTGGCCTTGAAGAAAAGCATCTCAGATTGAAAGCCTTGTAATTGAGACACTTCCTTCAAAGCATCTCAAGAAAAGGGACAAGAAGGTGTCCACAGGAATTCATTTGGGTGAGGGGCATTGTCTGTGACTAGATGCAAATTCCAGTCATTTTCCAGTTGCAGAAAGGTAGAGGAAATATTTCTAAAGGGGATGATTTACTATCAACTATAACATAAGTAACCACATTTCAAGATACCGCCTCTTAGACCCATCATTATTTATACCTTTTTAAAATTCCATACTTAAGTAAGTCATGTGCTCTATCCAACTACTTATCTTTGTGTCAGAACTTTGACAAAGCTTACTGCATCCCTTTGAGACTAGAGCATCCCTGAAATGTGTAAACCATCTGGCTCCACTCACAGTCAGCAGAGCAGGGCCATAGAGTGGCTTTGTTGATAGTGGGTTCAGATGGGTACAAATATACACTTTCGGGTCTACACGTATTTGGGAGAAAAAAACCATTCCCAACCACGTGGTCAGGGTGAAAGCTCCTGTAGACCTGGAAGGTCCTAGCCAATGGGAAAATTCCACAATGCCTTTGCTCTTTCACACGCATGGGTTGGACCACAGGTAAAAACCTACCCCTCTGAGCTGTTGCTGAAGCTTTCTGAGAAAGGAACCATGGACAAGGAAGAAAAGATCCTTGACTTGTGAGGATCTCTAGGTCAGATGCTACTAACTTCAAACCCAAGTACCTTCTGAGAGGTGTTAGGATCAGTGGCCTAAGTAAGGCCCCCAGTTCCAATTCAGGTCAAGTTCAAATTCCTTAAAGATGAGTGTATACAAGGTATATGTTCATGCATGTCCTGCAAGCTCCATGAAAGTCAACCTCTTTCCTTCCCTACTAAATTAGGGACTTGGAATTACAGGGTGTCTCCTAAGGAGAGGTCCTATTTCTTTTTTCTTCTTTTGAAAGGTAAGGTTTCTTTCTCTATTTCCTTTTCCTCTCTCCTCATTCACTTTTGTTTTCCTTCTGCATCTACTTTCATCAATTAAAAATAGAAGTGCTTCTTCTCTAGAGAGGCTAGAGATAAATCCTAAGCAGTCCCTTTGTTTGTTGTGGCTGTAGGTTTCATGAGGAGGTCTGTGGCTTGCTGGCATCAGAATATAAAATGTAAAAAAAAAAAAAACAAAAAAACAAACTGTGCCTCTTCCAGCTTCAACCCTTCCATAAGACTTAGCCTTTCAACAACTCTACCCTTTCACCTCCAGAGATCATGAAGGCACAAAGACTGGGCAGCACCAAGTGGGGACCAGCCTTTCTTAACTTTATGCTCCTATGCAGCACCTGGGGCCCTAGTGCCATATTGGTATAATCTCTCACTGGGGGTGAGTGGATCCACCCAGTGGTACTGCCTTTCTTTCCATAAGAGGGGAGGATATTGTGATACTGTCTCTATGTTTGTCTCTACTCATGATAAGAGGCCTAGTAGGAAAATACCACCAGGTATGATTGTCCTGATTTCATGGAAGGATGGGCCAATTGGGTCTCCAGAGGCACTTACCTGAGTCACATTCAAAATAATGAAAAAAATACAGTACTCAGAGGCATTTAGAATGGACTATCTTTACCTGGCTTATTCTGAGAGCATTAACTAATTTTCAAATATCTGTTGGAAGTGGTGGGAAGAAATACACCTGGTCACCCTTCAATGTGGCTGGTGTGGGGTAAGCTGTGCTTCTTGTAGTTTGAGTGAAGCTGGTTTTCTATAATCTTCCCTCTGCTCTAGGGACTAGGCATCCCAATGAACACATCCAGCCCTTTCCAGGGAAACATGATGAGTCAGAGTGAGAGCTGATTTTTACCACAGATAGAAATAACTGGTGCATACCAGCCGAATTGTCATTGGTGCTGCCTTCCAGCTGGTATGTGACAGAGAAAGGGGACAGGTTTTTAAGCAGGCCCACCAGAGTTGATGCATACAAATGATTCTGATGTCTCTCAAAGCAGTTGACTTCTGAAGCTGTATTTGTCATCTTTTCATTGTTGCTGCCATGGTGCAAAATGTTTTTGAAACATTCCTAGTTCTTAGAATATGTTGTTATTGGGTTTTTTATCCAGTGTATTACATGCACATTGTAGATTAGAAAAATAAAGTGCAACACAAAGAATACAGATTGATCATAATTCTATCACTGAGATGTCATCAGTGTGCTCAGTTATAGTGGCCATAACCCCAAATCCTCCCTAATGAGTGGTCATCTTTGGATTGACAGATGGGGCTAGAAGGACTTTCAGTGGCCTAAGAATCACACTGGCCTGTATGGAGTTCTTGGCAGCAGGAGCACAGGCCTCTGAGCCCCCAAAGATAGAAAAGAGGCCTTTGAAACCTCAATGTCAGTCTTAGAGGGCGGGTGGAACAGGGCTAAAAGAT